GTAAGTTAATCTGCGCCATCAGAAGCTGGACGGGGAGCAGAAAGAAGGAAGTTAGCATCGAGACCATCCTCTTGCTCGTACGAACTGTAACCGAAGAAGGAAATCCCTGAGAGCAGTTCTCGGGCTTTGGGAGCACATGGAAGCTTCATTAAGTCATCCGGTAGGTGGAGGCATGAGTACAGCTCCAGCAGTCTCGAAATCGTACTTTCGGAGGTGTCCCTCCAGTACATGTAGTGGGAACTGGGTTGCGTTTAAGTTGCGTGTAGGCTGCGCGTAGGCTGGCTGCTTAACTTTTCCAGCCACGGTAACGGCACCATATGCAGTCGCACTCAAAGGGCGAGAAATTAGGATAGGTCTAATGGGGGATTAGGCTAAGGGTTACAGTGCACAACGCAACCCACGATGGAAAAAATTACTAAAATTGTATTTGCGCCACTATCTTCTTTTATTACACTTACCTGGTATCATGTTGAAAACAACTAAATCATAAAGGACTGCAAAGTATATTTTTACCTAAATATATAAGGCATAATTACATAACTGACAAACACATGGAAGACTGGGATAGCCATTTCTAGTTTATTAGGAAATGCAAAAAATGTAAATTGCGGAAAGATAAATAGAGTATAGTTCAATAGTTGGTGGTCAGTATAGGACCCATTGTCCTCATTGTCTTGATGAGCTAATATTAACCGTTAACCTAATCTTAAAACCCTAATCCTAACCTCGGTCCTAAGCCCTAACCTTAAAACCCCAAAACTTACAAGTACCTTAATCCTAACCTTAGCACGCTAACCCCAACCGTACAATCCTAAAACCATCAAATAATTTGCAAACCCTGACCCCAACATGAAAACCCTAAACTCAACCATAACCTTAGATTTAATCTTAAAACCTTTATCCTAACCCGAAAATCTCCACTTTAAATTCATTACACGAAACAGAAACCCTTACCTTAAGGCCAGAAGTATATCCCCTACCCCAAAACATTAACCATATCCCAATCTTGAAACCTTAAACATAATCCTAATCGTAACCTCAAAAGAATAATCCTAACCACAACCTTTACTCGAAAATCTCAAACCTCAAACCCTAAAAACTTACTTTAAACCCAACACCCTTTATCCGCTCCTGCACTTTTAACAAATGAGCCGCTGATATCGTTTGCATCTGTCACAACCACTTACAGATCTGATTAGTGGGAATGTTGTGACTAGGTCCACACGAAGCGCATTTGTGAACGCTTGTCGTGACTAGCTCGAGTCAAAGTGCACTTGTGAGAGCTTGCTGATTCCGGCCTCTGGAACAGCCAATCACAGGCCAACGCACATAGGACCTTATGTGACAAGTGCCGAGCAGACATGACATGACTTCAGACGCCGTCCGCTAGCTTGCGTTTGTGCGGTCGTCTGATAGTCAATTTCCAATTGCCCATTTTCTCATAACATCTGTACAGAAACGACCTTTCTACCCTTCTGGCCTTCCATGACGTCTCCTTACTTAAGGAACCTGGCCTGAAGATCGCAGTTGCTAGAGTTTAATAAACCTAATCTCCTGCGATAGGTCTACGATAGGAGCAGGTGACGACACATTCTAGCAATTAGCGTCATTTACGCTCACACTCAACTTCGAGTGAAAGATAACAATGACATTTTGAAGAATTGTTTAGGCCTGAACAAAGGCATAAAGTGCAAAGGCATGTAGACATGCCGAATTTAACGTCATAACAAATTCTCGGATGCTTTGGTTAAATGTGAGGGGAAAGAAACAGGGACAAAAGGGAAACTGGTGTACCGAAGGGAAACTTACCCGGGCAATGGAAACAGGTGCTACCTCTTTATTCCGGCGTCTCAGTCTGAGGCCTGTTGTTTAACGGAAAAGTCCGCCCGATTTTATTATGGGTATTAATTGATCCGGTGCTCGACTCGTCTCCTTTCTTATCCAAGTATTATTTAATATCAAATTGAACAGAAGCCCATTTTTTCCCTATGATTGTGCACTTAAATTTATCCCTTGCTTTCGTCTAGTGAAGATAGTTAAGCTTGAGTTAAATTATATTCGTCAACACTCGAAGTGTCCAGCTATGTAGCAGATGCCATTTTGGATCGCTTTTTTATTATATTACGTACAGTCGATAGAGAAGAAGAAAAAGAATCAAATGCTTGGATGACACTTTAATTTGCCTAACATATCGACAGCCGTCACGAGTTCCTCCTCAGAGACATGAACAGAAAACAATAGCAAAGACAGGTACAGTCCATAGTCTGCCTCATGAAATCCAAGGATTTTTACAAAAGCAGCCTTGGTACACAACATTGGCCCAAGCTGCATCCACCAACGTTTCGCAGCAGTAGAGTAACCCTACTTACTAAAAAGCATGCCTATGCAATTTAACGAAAACTGATAATCTTCTGCCCGTTCCGTTTCAAGTCTTCCTATTTAATCGTACTGAATTGGACAGAGAAAAGTGACGGCATGTTGCTGGTGTTTATATGTAGGCTTGTTTACAGTCTTTTTTCAGTTTAATAAAACAAGCTAGAACCTTATAAGTTTATTACTTCCGTCCATAGCAGAAAACGTGCCAGATTTGCAAAACGGAATATCTTGAACTGAATCCGATTTTGTTTTCCCGAAAACAGTGCCAATTCTCATAAGTGCATTAGCCTGATTTTCATGAAGGCCAAGCGAAATTTCCCGTTCTCTGTAAAGATATAGTTAACTCTTTTCTGGCCAAGAGTAATCTTTTTTATAGTACAACATGCAAAAAATACAACGCTTTAATTCGCAGTGTTTAATACCACAGGAAATTGCTTGGATTTCAAATGACGTTGGATCTTACCCAATTCTGTCCATATTTCCCCTCAGTATATTGATTTAAAGTGAACTTTTTCGTCTTGTATAAAGCATTTTGCGCCCCCAGTCAATTTAATAAACAAAAAACAAACTCGAATGTGTGTTTAACCCTACCCTCAAAGTTCGACTTTCACATTTCATGAGTTAGGATATCTACTGTATAAGACGGTGCCTAATCCATAGGCTTGTCTTCCTCTAGTAACCTTTTATCATAACTCGGCCACGGTCGGGCTGGCGAATGGCTATTGGATTCCTTTGGCACTTGTTTGCTTCGGCAAACTCACGAATCAGAGTTCTTTTATAGCTATCTAATTAAGCAACTGTCCTGTAACAACAGGAAACTACAGGTGCCAGTTCGATGCACTACTTAGGCCAATCTGACACGTCCCGTCAGTTAATATGAGCATTTTTATATTTCTGGTGCCACATGATGATCGGCGTTATGATTGGCCGAAGAGAAAATGAACCCAAAAGAACACTGTGTTAATGGGCCCGCATTTTCTGTCGTCACGACTATATTGTTTATCTTCCTCAGAACAACAATGAGGAGCCGTTTATAAAAGGAAGCAAATTGTTCTTTTGCATAAGCACATAGACAGTTCACTCGCTACGAATAGCTGCATCCGGAACCTTGTCTGCCAAATGAATAAACAGAACAAGGAAAGGGCGAATAAACTGATAGGTTAGGCCTTCCACAGAACGCAACAGTGACAATTCAAGAAGATGGTTTTGGTTGTTGTTAGTTGTTCAGCGGGTTTGATACAATGTCTTGCCTTTACAAAAATCCTTTTTAATTAGAGTCATCATCTTCAGTTGAATGTTCCGAGTTAATGATAAAAGTAAATAGTTTTATTTTGTTCACGTGTAAAGGGAAAGCTAGTAGTAAACACACTGCCAAATTAAAGCGAAATTCTCCGGTCTTACTATTTATCTTGAGAGGTCAAGAATATTTAGCTCCATCTATTTTGATAGATAACGGGTAAATTCGATAGATTTTCGGGAAACTAGGCTGTGCTCGTCAAATCAGTTCAAATTTGACATTCTTTTGAAATTTGTAGGTCTTAAAAAATATTTGTTAACATCTTCTTGTCCGTTTTATTCAGGTCAAAACGAACCGTCTGCATACAGGCGCCGTTGGCCAATGGGATGCACATGTTCTTCAAACAATGACAATTTTCATCAGAATACACTAGCCTTACACCGACAGCGATCACCAGCATTTGTTCTGCGCTGTCGCCTTATGAAAGCGAACAATAGACAAGTCACGGTTCTCTGCGTCCTTTGTTATCACCCCCTGACAGAAGGCTATCTTGGAGGCTTCTTCATCGAATTTTAGTCAGAGCCCGGCAAGGCTGTCTTCTTTGTTGAAAGACAGTAACAAGGGTGGACTGTCAATACAAGCGAACATGCGAAT